TTCAAATCTTTTAAGGACTCAATTATAGCTTCCATTATCATCTGCATTGATTGAAAAAAAGAAATGCATTTCAAGAGTACATTCAAATAACAAAGATCACTACAACATAGATCTAAACAACGACGAATGAACGCCTCAATAATAGTTTCCAATGAAATATTCAACAAAAAGAGAATTGTACTTTAGCTCAGTTTGTCGTTAATAACCTTCTTGTCAAGTGTTTTCTCGTCTCACACAGCCAAATGTTATAGACTTTGAATACAAGCCTTGTGGTTGGTTCATGTGATTCAAAGCCATAAACTCCAGATAATAAGATGACCGATTACGGCACAACCATAAGTTTTCATACCATTCATTATCAGCAGCAGCAGCAACCTTGGATTTGTCTTAACTACTGATTATTTACTTTTATGATTTTAAGTTTTAGAACATATTAGCACATTTAATTCAAGTAAAATAAATATTTTTCACGGTTCACCCATTATGTGAAACCGAAATGAGATGCAATGTTTCAAGCAAGCTATATGCTGTTTATGGACAACAAAAATAAGTCAACTCAATCATTTAAGCATTTATGTTCTGGAGATATAATTCAAAGTTAATAAATGAAATAGAAGTATGAATATTTACAACCAAAAAAAAAAAAAAAATCAAAATGATGGTAGTGGATGATAAACATGAAAAAGATTCAAAATAAAGATCTATAGTCTAAAATTTAAGAATGGTTTGTGAATGTAAATGATTCAACCCTTATCTTATATTGAATTTGCTTAGGGGTTGTCAGAGTATGCTTCAGGAACAAAGTAAAGATCTAGTATGAGAGATGGCTATTGACATATGCTACTACGCCATCATAATGCAAATTAAAACTGGGCAAGCAGAGCATAAATATGTATAAGTAGAACATAAATCACATACCCTCTCTTCATCTTCAATAGTAGTTGGCATATCTGATACTCCATAAAGAGAACACTCCACGTATTCATTATCTGTTCGGGCTCTGCTGTGACCGTTTGGAAGGGCATCGCTATCCCGTCTAGAAGATGAACCAAGATCAGATTCACTTTCATTTTCCTGTTGCAATAAAAAAAATTATAATGACATACAAGCCTCTACCTTTAAAATGTGAAAATAAAAGTAAAAAAGAGCGGCACATTTCCTCAAATTTCACAGTGCATATAAATTTATGTTCATTTAAACCTGAATTTACACATTCTAGTTAATGTATAATTGATTTCTTTGAAATATAATGCAACCCGCTCCAATTAATTTCATCTTTAAGGATTGCATTGTACTAAAAATTATACAAAAAAGCACAAATAGTAGAAAATTGAGAGGTAGAATGAAGATGGCGCCATCTAATCAGGGCTTGCAATTAACATCCACAACACAAGTTTGGCAGCTAGAAAAAGATTTCCATTTAAAATCAAATTTGAGCATTTAAATAAATTTAGCTTGAATAATATCTCAAAAGCAGCTCAAGTTGAGCTTGCATAGGCAGCCTGCTTTGTTTGCAGCCTTCATAGGGGCAAATTGGGCAAATTAGCTCAGCTTAGGAAACGGTGGGGGGCCAATATACCATTTAACGAAGGAGAAAAAAAATTCAGGGTCCGCAATGCCCACCCTGGCACTAAGCCAGTCCAGCCCTTGGTAGGATTGCGTCAAAGATCATTGGATCTATAAGGTGTTAAATAAAAGAAGGAAATAGAGCAAGGCGAAAAGTGTCCATGGAGCAAGTTTGGAAGGCAGAATGGCAATTAGCTAAGGAAAGTGCTAGGTTAGAAAACTAGCAGGCAGGAATTCTAGTTTGGCTAGCAGGTAGAGAAATTCAAGGAGTTTTGGAATGGTCGTATTCATAATCAATGTTCTATGGCTGAAATAGAGAAACTATAATTGCTTTAGTTAATGAGCTTTCAGTTGCGTCAAATGCGTCTAAGGATGATACTACAATCAATCAAAATCATATTGAGGTTATCAATTTGGATATGATTGGCAGCTGGAATACTTTTCCCCTCATCGATGACAATAACCTCAACAATAAAACTGAAGGCACTGAGGTTCTTGAGTCTCAAGTGAACTCTAAAGAGAGCGGATTCTCACCACCTTTCAGCTAAAATGATCAACATCCTCTTATCCCTTTTCCTAACATTCTATATCCAATACAGGAAGATTTACAAACCATAAAGCAGAGGAATCTCCTCCTGATATTGCCCCACTAATCATATGGATGCCGATCTTTTTCAGGAAGTATTACCTGAAAGGAAATGACGAAGCAAGAGGAAACAAACTATCATAACTGCAAGTTCACCAGATCTGAAACCAATCACCTTTATAGGAATGGAATTCCAGATACTGAGATTGAATGACAACAAGTTCAAACGCCTCCAAATACCCAGATCTTTTGTGCAAGTATCAGTTTTCCTAGAAGGCTTCAGCTGTCTCATGTACTCTACATTTCTTTTTTGATTGTTAGCAGCAATGTTTCCAATAAAACCATTTTCATCTCCTCCGAGTTATTCTACATTCTGTTTCAACAGGAACATTCACCAATTGGCTTCTTGGAACTAAACAATACATTCTGCTGGTAACTGCTTGTTAGTCCTGTTGTTTTTGGCATGCTATTAGCGCCTAAACTTCATTCTCCTCCTAATTTGGTTTTTTGCTTCTCTTTTGTTGTCTTATCACGTGCTTTCTGATGTACCTCTTGTAGAGCTTTTTCTTTGGGGCGTTTACATACATGCCACTCAATTTCTATGTATTTACCGATATAACTGATGCGGGGGCTATGGAGGACCAGTCTGGAGAGTTCGGTGTAGCAAACCTGAACTGGTCGGTCCTCAAGGGGAGGTGTTGCAAACCCTGCACCTTTCCCTTTTCTTTCTCTCTCCCTCACTTTTTCCTTCATAGTACTTTCCTATTATAAGTTATTACTAATTCTAAATTCAGATTTATTTTACTCAAATTGCCTAATCTGAAATTCTATTAGTTTATTTGTCATTGCTGAATCTAAATTCTTATTTTTTTTACTCTACTTTCTTATTTTAAAGATTGCCTAAAATAAGTCTTAGTCCGCATTATAAATAGGAGGTGATATGCTAAGAGTTTTAGTTTTTTTACTGTGTTTGCATTCAGATTTACTGTGTTTGCATTTAGATTTACTGTGTTTGCATTCTTAGAAAAAGATATTCAACATAGGTGGATGAGTTATTTTGATAAACTTTTTAATGAAGTTTCTGAAAATACGATC